TTTTTACTATATTCTGCTTCACTTGATTCAAAACGTTCTCGTAGAGTGGAAAATGTTTCCGGCCATGGATGTCGCATATTAGGGTACCGTTGCTTATAAGTGCAAGATTCTAGGTAACTATTTCTTTGGGCTTCGCCCAAAACGAACACCATATTCACCGTTTCTTCTTTAAAAAAATTCATTTTCAAACACGCTTTTATTATAATGCTCACAAAGCTAATTTTTACCGTTTCTAACTAATCAACAACTTATTTGTTTCCAAGGATGATGCGATATTTTAGGGAATTGAGCCGTTCCATAAAAGACTTGCTACGAACCGAAAAAATAGTCGTAAAAGCCCTTATGTGCCTAGTATCATAAAAAGCTTATAAAAAGTTGAATCCAAACTTGCATAATTATCAGGGTGATGCATTCGAAATTTTTGAGAAAAGCTACAATTTGCGTTTTTGACCACCCTGTATGAGCAAAAATGAAAATTCGAAAAAGTAACAAATAAGATAATAGTTGAGATGTGTAAGAATTTTTAATACAAAACTCAGCACTCCAAATTTCAAAATGGCGGACTGAGGGGTTGCCCAAGTGGGAGGTATGAATTTCGTTCTTTTGAATTGGTTTATTCAAATATGCAATAAAGTTTAAGACGTTCGTTTTGAAAAATCACAACTTTGATATGTAGGTCAAATTGGGCCACCCTGTATAATGGCCAATATTTTAGAAATGTTGTCTTAAATGTCCTGTAAAACATCCCATAAATAGATTTTCCCAAGATGTATTTGTTTATGAGTAATATTCCACACATGGATGGGCCACCCTGCATAAGTTCACAAATCAGCATTAATGACGTTACTTCTGCTTATGACAGGATATTGGAAATTATGGTCAGCCGATAGAGCAGCTGTGATAGATGTCAGATAAGGATGTCAGGTTAGGAAGAATACAAATCTTCCACGATGTTTTTTCACGGTTAGAGTATAAATTTCTCAGCTAGATTGTATCACATCCTATTCATTGACTAGTGAGGTAACGATTTTACCAATAGTCGGTTACTAGACATTTTATCAACTTCAAGGTATTAATATTGATTATTTTGCAGAAACATCGAATTTGTCTCTCGAAACGATTTGCTCGTTAACACGTACGAGTAACAAGAACGAAAGTTAAACTTTTTTATAGCAGATTGTTGATTAAAGATATATTATACTAAGTGACATATAAATCCGAACACCCAGTTTAAATGGTTTTATTTTAATAAAAGTTGGTGAATGTATTTATCTTACTGTAAATAACAAGTAAAAAAATTTTCAGCCTTATCAGTTGGACATTCCGGTTTTTATACTGTTTTTTTTTAATTCACTAACGCTCTAAAAATGAATATTTCAGCCGCAGTAAACAATCAACGTTGGCGGATTTTTGTTCTTGACATCCTTTACGATCGGTTACGATGCCTAGAGTACGGAGACCTGTACGATTTCGTCAACTTAGTGAGTTTGATAGGGGCCGTATAGTGGGACTTCGGGAAGCTGGACTTTCTTTTCGGGCAATTGCAGTTAGAGTGCAAAGAAGTGTAGACACTGTGGTTAGGTGTTGTCAGGCATGGCTTCGAGAAGGCCGTACGCAAAGAGCAAGGGGCACTGGACGCCGCCGTAGAACAACAGACCGTGAAGATCGCCGCCTAAGATTATTGGCCTTAAGGGACCGTTTCTCCACTACCTGGTCCATTGCAAATGAATGGTTTGCAGAACACGGAAGGCCTATTGGCATGCGAAGTGTTTACCGACGAATGAGAAGTTTTGGCTTGTTTTCATACCGGCCACATTGGGTCCTCCCTTTAACTCGAGAACACCGACGTAATCGCCTTGAGTAGTGCAGACAACGGTCACTCTGGGATCAGGAATGGAACAGTATTGTCTTTAGTGACGAGTCTCAATTTTGTTTAGGCATGCACGATGGTCGTGCCAGGGTTAGAAGGCGACGTGGTGAAAGGAGGAATCCACAGTTTTTTGTTGAAAGACATGTTCATCACACTGTTAGAGTTATGGTTTGGGGTGCTATAGCTTATGGTCCCAGGTCACCTTTAATCTTCATCAGAGGTAACATGAACGTGCAGCGTTATATCCACGAAGTTCTAGAACCCCATCTTTTACCCTATCTTGACACCCTGGCAGATCCAACTTTCCAACAAGATAATGCCCGACCACATGTTGCAAGAGTCACAATAGACTTCTTTCAACATAATGATGTCACATTGTTACCATGGCCACCAAGATCTCCCGACTTATCCCCAATTGAGCACGTGTGGGATATGATGGGTAGGAGATTGCTCAATTTGCAACGTCCTCCTCAGACTCTAGAAGCACTTCGAGAGGAGTTGGTGGTTGCCTGGAATGAGATACCACAGGAGGACATTGACCACCTGATCAGAAGCATGCCTAGGCGCGTTGGAGAATGCGTAGCACATCAGGGTGCATCCACACATTATTAAAGGTCAAAGGGCTTTAAAGCAGTTTGAAATTTTTATCATTTACTTATTATGCTTCATTAAGTACTTATACAAAATTTTATTAAAATAAAACCATTTAAACTGAGTGTTTGGATTTATATGTCACTTAGTATATAATACCTTAATTTGTTCAGTTTCTGAAGGAAGCATGGCTGACATACCCGTACCATTGCTGCGCATTCAAGTTTCCGCAAACTCACAATCGTGGAGAGTACGAAAAGCATGCTAGGTTTGTTGAGCAGCTACATGAAGCCTGCGATTCGAAGAATACTACTGTAGGAAATATTTTTAAGGTGAGAAGTTATTTTATCAACGACATACGATTATAATATTCAATTTATATTTAAAGACAGTTCTATCTGGACGGAAAAGCTAAGGACGTGAATCCCTCCTAAGCGTGGATTTTGGTGTTGGTTTTGCTCTCATAGTAGTAGAGTAGTAATTTGGCCATAGGAAGTTTTAATAACAATTATCCAATACAACAGGCATACTTAGTATTTTTACACATTTCGTTAAGAGTACATTTCTCGGGGAAAAAGTATTTTGAATCAGCCTGATATTCACTTGGAAAGGTCAGTTCAATTTTTCATTATGATTCAATCAATTGAGCTTCTGCCTTCGCCTTAACCTTTCCATATACATCATATCGTTAAATTTGCATGAAAAATCTCCGTGGTAAGTTCGAAATATGTTGTTTTCAAAATCAAGATTATGCAAAGCGAGTTAAGCATCCCACAAACCGGCGCGAAATAATCGCGGCGAAGTATTAGCAACGAAATTCAGAGCGAAATTCGCAATCTGTTTCGCCTGTTTATTCATACCAAAGCGTCTTATTCGCTCCGCGAACGTGAAGGTTTCGAATGTTGCGTACATTTTATTTTTGCCTTTTGCAATGAGCTCGTCACCAGAAGAAGAGGAGGCACTTCTATTTCTTGCTTTAGAAGAGGAACAAAATGCACGGTAAGTTATGTTTATTTAACGCCATTTGATAGTTGGGTATGTATTAAGTTTAACGAAGTACATAAAACAAATATTTTCAATTTTGTTTAGGAAACGAAGGAAGTGGGTACATGATATTAACTTGGAACGAAATAAATTTGGGGAATACCATACCTTGATGCCACAACTTCGGCTGGAAAAAATGTGCTGAAGAATTTGAAAATAGATGGGGATTTCCCAATTGCATTGGCAGCGTGGACGGTAAACATGTAACAATCAAGAAACCTAACAACAGTGGCTCCAATTACTGGTGCTATTTACATAAATATTCAATAGTACTTATGGCCATTGTTGGCCCGGACTATAAATTTATATGTGTTGATATTGGTGGTTTCGGATAAAATAGTGAAGGGGGTATTTTCGAAACCTCAAACATGGGAAAACGGTTTGAACAAAATTTAATGAGTGTCCCTGCACCTAGATTTCTCATTGAGCAAAATGAAATCTGCTCGTACGTCTTAATTGGTGATGAAGCATTTGCTTTAAAACCATACCTTATGAGACCATTTCCTTATAAGCAGACTTTAACAGACGTCAGAAAAGAGAAAAACAATGTAAGACTTTGTCGAGCTAGAAGGGTCGTGGAAAATGCGTTTGGTATTTTGTCTCAAAAATGGCGAATATTTTACAGTCCATTAGAAACTCAAGTAGATACTACTATTCTAATTGTACGTACGGCATGTGTTTTACACAATTTTTTACGAAGTAAAAGTGGCGATGACAAATATTTTCAATTCTTAGATCCCCCAGAACCCGTGCTTGGAGCTTTTACTGATATAGCAAATGATCCTCGGCGGGCAGCAAGGCTAGCATTTTCTACTCGTGACAAATTCGTAAATTATTTTAATTCTGATATGCCTATGCCCAATATATAGAATGTTCGTTTTCACATTTGTGTAGACTGTAAATTATTTAACAGGTTAATAAAAAATATTAGGTACATACCATTTGTATTTAATTCTTTTCCTATTTCCATCCAAATCTTGTCTTTCATTCTCACATTCCTGTATTCATCGTTTGACAAATCATACAAACAATGATACTTTTTCACTATTTCTATCAATAATTCCGTTTTTGCCATTGCGAATTTTTGAAGAACGGCGTCAAAAACGCGTTCAAAGGCGAACTGAAATACGCCGCGATAAAAACGCTGGAACAATCGCATTCGCTTCGCACAAGTCTGAGCCTGTCCGTAAACCGCCGCGTTTCAATCTGATCGTGAATTCATCGCCACGAAATTTTCGCAGCCAAAGCGAATATTTCGCGCCGGTTTGTGGGATGCTTTATTCTGCTCATTGATTAACAAATTCCTAAAGATAGCTTACTATATTTCAACTTCCAAAAAATTAACCGAGATAAAATGAGATATACGAGCATCAACTACATGAGAATGTGACTAGTTTAACGGTTAGAGGAGCAACATTACATAATATCGTGCCTAAACAAATAAAAGAATGCCATCATGACGTCAAACTAAAAAAAGATGTGAGGTCTGTTCTACGAGGGATATCTTTTAAGTTTTGCATATGGAAATAAAACAACACGGTAGGTAGTTTTAAATGACTTTATTGTTTTTCGAAGTATTCTCTACGAAGACTAATACACGTCTGCATGCGCTGGAACCAATTTTCGAAGCACTTATTCCACTCGTTTGCTGGCAGATCTAAAACGGCATTTTTGAATGCGTCAACTGCTTCTTCTGGTGAATGGAACCTTTGACCACGCAGTCTGTTTTTAATTTTTGGGAAAGTCAAGAAATCGTTAGGACTTAGATCGGGACTATATGGAGGATGGTCCAATAATTCCAGGTTTTCTTCCGTTAAATACTGCCTTGTTTTTTGGGCTGTGTGCCTTGCTTGCATTGTCTTGGTGGAGGATGATTCTTCCTTCGGGGTTGATATTTCGGAGCTCGGTGATGACTTTTGGCAAACAAATGGTGGTAAACCATTCCGCAGTAACAGTTCTTTGCTCATTTAGAAGAATTGTTGCAATACCTTTGACCTTTGACACAAATATCGCGACCATCTTTTTCGAAACACTTCGAGAACGGATGACTTTTTTTAGCTTTTCTTCATCTTGGAACACCCAAACAGCCGACTGTCGTTTATTTTCTGGTTCATAACAGGAAATCCACGATTAATCACCACTAACAATGCTCTACACATTTTTTGAGTTTCCGGAATTGAAACGCTCAAGCGTTTTTTGACACCAATTAACCCTGGCTGCTTTGTGCTCTTCAGTCAACAGGTGGGATATCCAACGAGAAACTAATTTTCTTACTCCTAATTCTTCATGTAAAATTTTTTTGAATTGAGGTCTTTGAGATCTTCAAGGACGCCTCAACCTCGCGAAATATCACATGTCTATCTTCAATGATGAGTTTGCGCATAGCATCGACGTCTTCCTGGGTGACTGCCGTTTTTGGTGCACCCACCCTGGGATCGTCGCTAAGACTCATCCATCCACGTTTGAATTCTCCATACCAACGGGAAATTGTCGACTGATGTGGCGCTTCGTTGCCGAAAACAGACAGTAACTCAGCAAGGCATTTTTGTCTGTTGTAATAAATTATGGCGCGAAAATGTTCTCGATTGAGTTCCATTTTCTAATGACTTGGTGACACTTAAAAATTCACTATAGTGAGAACACTGCACGTATTGTTGTGAAATTTTAAATTTAAGTTTACTAAAAAGTGGGGTTAAGATTCGTTAGTGACGTTCGATCCGCGTGGCCTACTATGTTTCTATATGCAAAACTTAAAATACATCCCTCGATTTATTTATAATAAATGATTTAATACATTTTTCCTGATTTCGACCACTCACCTAACATTGATCGCAAACCTAAATTTTTCTTTCCTTTTTCCTTAATTTGTTTGATGTTTCAAACCCAAGCGCAAGTTGCTTATTTTTGAAACTTCCTGCTGACTGCACTCTACATTTATTTCATTATGTTGTTGTGTTTTTTGGCAATAAAAGTTATTATTATCATTACTGTTATTATTATCATTATACAGGGTGTTTCAGTTTATTGTTGCATAACTTTAAGACTCGATAGAATTTTTAAAATTAATGCATAAAGTCTATATAAACATCGGTCGAAAAATTCGTGGCTTCCGAAATACAGGGTGTTTAAATTTACTTTCTAAAATAGTTTTTTTAAAATATTTCGAACAATATTTGATGTATAACAGTGACAATTGGTATACAAGGGTTTTTTGGTACGACAAAACGAACTAAGGGCATAGCTTTACTGTAGCCGCTAGAGGGCGCTCTCTACTGTACCTGTAGTGTATTAAAATGACCGAAAATTTTTTCTTAGCGCGATTTTTTGCTTTTTGAATAAAAAAACTGATTCTTCGCACTGTTCTGCATAAAAAAGCTCTCTTGTGAGTTTTTGTTATAGTTAGACTGTTTTGAGATATTTCGATTTGTAGGGTTCGATGCATTTTAAATTATTTATGGCAAAATAATATTTTTTTACATTTTCGATTTGGGCATTACAAGTAATTAAGATGATAGTTTAAATTGTGTTTTTAAACTCAGCAATAATTCCGAACTCCAAATAAACACAAAAAAAACAGAATATTAATTTGTTTAATTTTCCAATATTATTTTTAACATATTAGATTAATTATTTACAACTAAAATGCTATTGGATAGTTAGGACAAACATACAAAATCTAAAGTAGTTGCTCGAAATGTAAACCCAATTGTTCAATACACAATTCACATCTACGAATGATCGAACGTGGTATTGCATTATTCAAATAAGGCCTTATTTCATCACATGCATTCCTGATTCTGTCTATTAGCATATTTCTTGTGGTTACGGGAGTCTGGTACACTTTTTCTTTTAGAAATCCCCACACAAAGAAATCTAATGGATTTAGGTCAGGGGATCGTGGAGGCCAGGCGACTGGACAATCTTCTTAAATCTAACATAACATCATCTCACATATTTGCATGTTCAGGCAAAAAAATTCCAAGAAGGTCGCAGCATTTAACCTTCCAGGCAAAAGGTAGGGTCCAAATAGTCGATTACGGTAGATACCAATCCACACGTTCACACTAAATTCATGCTGAAAATTTCTTTCCCGAACTGCATGCGGATTTTCATGCGACCAAATATGTTGATTATGAAAATTTACCACTCCACGTCTAGTGAAGCATGACTCATCAGTCCATAAAACGTTACGTAAAAACTCCCTATTATTATCAGTTCTATCAATAATCCACAAAATGTTATTTTTCGTTCTCCGTCCCGTGGCTGTAGTCCTTGCACAGGTTGCAAATGGTAAGGACGTCTATGGTCATTTCTAAGAACACGGTGAACATGGCTTGCTGAAATTCCCAAGGCACCAGAAACTCTCCTAACACTTGTGGTCGGATCTCTATCAAACTCACGCAGAATCATACGCGTAAATCTGCGCTGACGAACATTTATGTTTTGATCCCAAAACCATTTTCAATTATTTGGCGATGCACTCTTACAAATACTGAGCGAGTTGGATCTCGTCTGTTTGGAAATCTTCGTGCGTATTCTCTGGCTGCTTCTGCTGCGTTTCCATTCACAAAGCCATACACAAAATGAATATCCGCTAACTCTTGGTTGGAGAATAAAAATGGCATTTTTATAAAACTTACAAAAAAACAGGTAAAAGAAACTAAATTTCGTGCATTCACAATTGCAAAAAAACGTTTCAGGTTTCAACAGACAACAAAACTAACTGTCAACTAATTGACGTTTAACCTTATTCTGCCTTAAATTTCAAAAATATTTGCAGGCACAGCCTACTTCTAAAAATTATCGAGATACTGACTTGTTAACGTTATTGTATCATAAATAATTAAAAATGCATCGAACCTTAAAAATCGAAATATCTCAAAAACGGCTAACTATAACGAAAATTCACAAGATAGCTTTTTTATGTTGAAAGGTGCGAAAAATCCTTTTTTTTATTCAAAAAGCAGAAAATTGCACTAAGAAAAAATTTTCGGTCATTTTAATACACTACAGGTACAGTGGAGAGCGCCTTCTAGCGGCTACAGTAAAACTGTGCCCATGGTTCGTTTTGCCGTACCAAAAAACCCTTGTATACCAATTTTCACTGTTATACATCAAATATTGTTCGAAATATTTAAAAAAAACTATTTTAGAAAGTAAATTTAAACACCCTGTATTTCGAAAGCCACGCATTTTTCGACCCATGTTTATATAAACTTTATGTATTAATTTTAAAGTTCTATCGAATCTTAAAGTTATGCAACAATAAACTGAAACACCCTGTATACGATCATAACGTAGGTCCTAGAAGTTTTGGCACAAAGTATTTAGTGGATTTCTTTTAATGAAAAAACTGACTTAAACACTAACCAGTTATCATAAATTACAATTCACTACTCAACTAAAATATACTATCGAATTATATGGAGTGGCCCATTGTTCTGTACCAGACGCAACTTTTTTCGAATATCCCTCATGAGGTCCTAGACGGAATTCAAATCAATTTCTCTCAGTTTTTCGTAAATTCGCCGTCTTAATTGCTCTTCATCTTGAGCTTCAAAGGTTCCATGATAAGCCTTCCTAGACATTAAATCCCGAAAATCCTCTATTGAGCAAGGCTGCAGCAAGTTTTGAGAACAAAACGTACGTTGTGTTGTTTTGGGTATCTCTTGAGTAATGGCATGATGCTAGGTCTTGCCAAAATATTATATGGTCATTAGCAGGATGTTGGTAGACAAACCAGAGGAATTTGGAAAGGCAGTAATCAATATACACCTAAAACTGACTATTCAAAGCTTCACCTCTCACTCTTCATACAAATCGTTTTGATGCACTCCTGTTAGAAATTGTGCACAAGATAAGGACTTTATCTGCCAATTTTGCTTTATATTTGTGTCTAACGTTGTCCGTATAAAATCCGTCGTTTCCTTTCATTTCAGTATTACTCTTCTTCTTCTTCTTCCTTTTTTATTAATAGGCTCATGTCTGTCTTACTTGGGTTTTTAGCGTCAATTGATGTTGTTTGACCATCTCGGTCGTCCCATTGATCTTCTTCCATTTGGCGATTTGTCTCTTTCTATTTGTACTGTTCTATTTTCTTTCATTCTTTTGGTCCACAGGTTTATTTCCTCAATACCACATCTCGCTAGTATTCCATCACTTCTTACTCTGTCTCTTAGAGTTTCGTTTGTTATTTTTCGTAAGACTTTCATTTCTGCTGTTTCCAATAATCTTTGTGTTTTCGCAGTATCTGCTCTTGTTTCCGCAGTGTACGTCATTATCGATCTTATTGTTGATTTATATATCTTAGTTTTTGTTTCTGTTGTGAGGTATTTGTTTCTCCAGATTGTATTGTTGAGATATCCTGCTGCTCTGTTCGCCATGTTCACTTGTTTTTGTACTTCTTCTTCCACTTTTCCATAGCTTGACAGTTTGATTTCCAAGTATTCCGTTTCCATCACTTGTTCTATTATTTTGTTATTTAGGACCAGTTTATATCGTCTCGGTTCCGCTGATATCAATATCGATTCAGTTTTTTCTGTTGAACTCACCATGTTGTATATGAGCGCCACTTAGAATTCTTTAATTAATTTATGTAGGTAATCTTCATTTCCGACTATTATTATGGCGTAGTCGGCGTAGCATATAATCTGCATTTCCTGTTCTCCCATTCTATATCCTCTTCTTCTTTTAACTTTATTTATCAGATTATCAGATTAAATATTAGTGGGCTCAGCGAATCTCCTTGTCTAATGCCAGTTTCATACTTGATAGGTTGCGAGAGTTTTCCTTTACATCCCACCATAGCTATGTTATCTTTCTATATATTTTCAATATTTTTTACTAAATCCAGTGGTATTCCCCTGTCACATAATAAATGTATCGTGTCCCGAATTCTCACTCTATC